CCTCACACAGGAGGGAGGCAGTTTCTTTAGGAGGAAATTATGTGGTGGTAAGTGGCCTCAGTTTATTCCATGTGGGATGTAGACATTTCCCCTGAAAATGGAAGTTACTAGCTCTTTGCAGACAGGCCACTCTGTTTCTCCCATAGTCCTTTGCAGATGGAAGGGGCTGTGCATGTTTGAAGGCATCATGCTTTCCTGGTGGAATTGGGACCATTTGAATTAAGAAGTCATGTTTCCGAGTCTGAGGATGAGAACACCAAGTTGTTACTTATTTTGGAAAAAACTAATCATTTGTTTATAGTAAGAATTTTATTTTCCAACAGCTGCTTTTGTTGGCACCTTCTTCCTAAAGATTTCAAGTTGTAGTCGTAGATCTGGGGTGGGAGTAGAGAAGAAAAAATTAATATTGTTAATGTTGTACTTGATAAAAGTTGTTTTATTTGATAGAGGGCCTGCAAAGGTATCTTTGTTGCTTGGTGTTTTGTTACTGACACTCGGAAAATGATTCTCTCTTTGTGCCCTTGGCCTCTCAGAATATCCAAAATGTAGGCACTTTTAAAATGTTTGAATGAAGACATGACCAAAACATTTTAAAATTATTATACTATGTCTTATTAAGATCATGTCTTGTGTATACTCTCATTTCTAAAAAGAGTTTTGTGGACAATTATTATTTCAGTTGTTCAAGTTGGATAATTTTGTTGGATGGAGAACCTATGTTCTTATGAAATTGGAGTTTATGAAATAAGATCGGAAAAAAATAGAATGTGTAATTGGGCACATCCTGTACTGCTTTGTGAATCACCAAACCAGTGTAATCACCATTAGGCACTTTGGAAACCAGACTTGCATGTCCTTGCTCTGCCTGAAAAGCTAGGAGTCGCCCCTGATGGCAAGTCATCGGGGTGACACCAGGAGCCCCCCGCTCATGTGAGTGAGCCGGCTGCCTGCTGACTGCTTATATGAGTCACATAGGCATCCAGTGCCATCGAGCCAAACTTTCTTTGGTCATTTTAAGGAGTCATGTTGAAAATACAATTGATAAGGTAACATCCAGAAGAAAGAATTAAGTATATGTGTGGTGCATGATATACCTCAGCTATTGTAGTGAATGATTGTTGGAATAAATCTCTCACTACTTTGGCCAATTTCTCTTCAGTACAAACCCACTTTGGAAGGAGTAAATGGGTCACTAGAATAAACACGTTGAAACATTTTGAAAAAGTGAAATCCAAATGTAGGCCCAAATTCGGTGTTAAATCCTCCTGACCTTGTAATGTGTAAAGCCTTTTATGTGTTCTTAAAATGTATGCAGGGGGAGGTGTGTGTGGCCGTTTTTCTGCGAAGTGGGTGCATAGATGGCATCAGTGGACTTTCAGAGGAGTCATGGCTCCACAAGATGAAGAAGATTCACTGACCTAGGGATGGGTATGGTGGTAGAAAGCAAACTAAAGTTTTAAACCCAATAGAAAGGGTGATACTTACCCTTGGAAGAAAAAGGAGTATCTATTGGCCTTCATTTGTGCCTGTCTGAAGCACCCCACTCACTGCAACTTCAAATCCTTTAAAGGGAAGACATTGATTTCCCTTGTGGGCAGTAGTATTTCGAATAGCTGGTTAGGCTGCTAGGTGACAGGGAGCTAATTTTTAAAGAACTTTTTGCCTTGGAGACACTTTTTCTTCCCCTTCGCCAGCCCCAGTCTTTAGCTTTCTGTTGAGACTCTCGGCAGTCCCCCAACTCCCTGAACTCCAGCCCTTTCACACTCCTGCAGTGTTGTCTTCAGCACAGCATTGCACAGTGGTTAAAAATGAGTTTGGATTTGAATCCAAGTCTCATTATCAGCTGTGTGACTTTGGGCAAGTCACCTAGTCTCTTTGAACCTCAGTTTTGTTGTGTGTGTTTTTTGTGTTTTTTTTTTTCAGCTGTAGAATGGGGATGGTAATACTTATATTATAGGGTTGTTGAAAGGATTAAAGAGGTAATAGTTGTAAAGTGCTTTGCATAGAGCTTGGCACATTATAAGCTTCCAGTAAATCTTAGCTGCTGCTATTAGATGGTGAGGGTGTTGATGAATGTGCAATTAACCTTTTCTTTTCCCAGTGTGATTGATTGTCAGCAGCCTGAGGGCAGGAATCTTGTTTTATTCTTTTGTGTATCATCTAGACCTCCTAGAATGGTATTATTGGTTGCTTTTCTCAGTGTGGGTCCAAGTGTCTGTGGGGCCACCGACAGAATCACTCCACACATAGGTTTGTGTCTCACCTGCTGCAGTTTTTCTATGAGGGGCACCGAGGTGCTTGCCAAGTGCTTCTAGAGACAGACTTTAGTCAGAAATGCTGGAATTTTGGGCTCATTTAATTGGCCAAGTCCAGTTTGACCTTTCAGTCATGGGTGTTTGGTGAGGTTCAGTCTTTCTAAGATTCTGTAGGTTTTTTATAGGGTCAAGTCTGTATTTGTTGGATAAGACAGACTTGAAGTTGGTTCTGTTCCCTTGTAAATAGGGGAAAGGCATCTTCAAGTCCTGTGCTGTGAATGGTGCGTCAGCTGTTTCTTCTTGAAGTGTGTTTCCTACTGGCAGCATTCTCCATCCCCCGCACCCCCTACCCCCACCTCAGCCCTCAGCCCTGCCACCAAGCTTGAGCTCTTGCAGGGTCATCACCTCCTTACCTGGCTGTATACCTCTCGGAGCAAAGGTTAATTCACACCAAAGAGGTGAGTAGCTTGTGCCAGTCCATGTCTGTCTTCTCCCTCTAAAAATATTGAAATTTATGAAGAGAGTATGCAGAGGTGATACCTTAAGCCAGTGGTTCTCAACATGGATGGGGCTGAGTGCGCACAGGTCACTCCTGGGGAGCGGCTACTGCAGTCTAGTGGGTGGAGGCCAGGGGTGCTTCTAAGTCTACTCTACTGCACAGGACAGTCACCACAGAGAACTACCCAGCTCAAATGTCAGTAGTGCCAAGGCTGGTAAACCTTACCTTAAGCCTGAGAGGGATGCAAGCCATCTTGTAACTTGTGGGGGAGAAAATTGAGGTCTTTATCTCCCCTAAGTCCAGCCTCTTGTGTGCTTGTCAGGGAGGCAGTGCCTCTGGGAGGGTGTGCTGGATGCAGTTCCCCTGAATTCGGCCTCAGGTCTCATGCAGTCATGCTTCTGTGGTCGTGGGGATGGCCGTGGTCCTGATGCCACTGAGGAGTAAGCTGCTGGAGAGTTGGGAAGAAAGAGGCAGAGGCATTGGGAACTGAGAAATGGTTATAGAGAGCCAGGGAGAGCGGGAGCTTTCTGTCTTGAGATTTGCTTTTGTACATGAGAGTTCACTTGAATCAGCTCGGAGAAGGAAACTGGGTCTTGTCCATATAATTTCCACTTGAGCTCAAATCAGAGCAAAGAGCTCCTGCCTGTGGAGAATTACTGAGGATCTGGTTGAGTTTAGATGTTCTTCCCCCACTCATTTTTGGGGATGTTTTTGTTTTTCAGCATCTTTTTTTTAAAAAAATCCTCACCCAAGGAGATAGCTTTCATTGATTTTATAGAGAAGAGAGAGAGAGAGACCTATCAGTTACCTCCCAAACACACCCCGAGTTTGATCCTAAGTTTGCGGATCAAACTTGCACCTAGGTGTGTGCCCGACTGGGAATCGAACATGCAACCTTTTGGTGCATGAGACAATACTACAACCAACTGAGCCACACAGCCAGGACTGTTTTTCAGCACCTCTGTTCCCCTTCCTTTACCTTCCCAGTTTTTTCCCTGGCCTGCCTTCTCCCCACAAGCAGAGACATTGAGGGACTTCTGCTCCTCTAGGGAAGGAGCCAGTACCCGTGGCAACAGCAGCATTCTTACTGGACTGCTTGTCCCTGTTGCTGTGATAATCCTACACCTCCAGTTCCCGCAGATCCCACGTGGACTCGGTCGCCTTACTCACTTACTTGAGCAGGGCTGGCAGCAGCACCAGCAGCAGGCACAGATGAAGTGCCTCATTTTGCGTGATGTCTGTGGGCCCAGCCCTGTGTGCTGTGTCCCCCATTCAGGCATTCTGACAGAAACTTGCTTCTCTTGAGTTCTAGAATCGCATGTAAAAGTAACTTAAAAAAAGAAAAGAAAAGGCCGTGTTCCCTTCCTGAGCTACAGTGGAGGCAGCAGGCACTTCCAGGACATGGGAGAGGCCGAAAATGTCGTGCTGGGTGCCTCTGCTTTGTGGCTCGGTGCCCTTTCTCATCCTGGACATGTCATAAGACGGAAGCATGCCTCAGAGCCTACCAGGATCTGCTGGTGGTTTCCAGCGTCTGGTTTGGGGAGAAGTCGGTGGTGCTCCCAGGCAGCCCGGAGTGGGCAGACACCCCGCGCCTCACCGCTGAGCTTAGACGAGGGCTTCCTTCCAGGATTTCTGGGTCACGTGAGTGTGGGTGGGATTGTAGGCTGTTTTGTGGGCGAGGGGAAGATACTTGTGGCAGGTAGGCTTTTGTGAACCCACCTGCACATGTAAATCTCTCCTTAATGTCTCACCTCCTCAGTTTGGGTGGAGAACTTGCCACCTCCAGGTTCCTCCCTGGAGACGGCTAAGGGCTGTCTCAGGTTTGGGCCAAACACCATTGTGCATCCCTGGGCCTGGGCCTCCGCTGTGGAAAAGCTTGTTTTTTGCCCCGGGCAGGCCTTGTTGGACTTTTGTTCCTGGGTATTTATTGCCTTTTTTTTTTTTAATGTCGTTACTGTATGAAATCACATGGCCTCTTTCCGGAAAGACAAAGGAATCTATCCGTCCAAGCCACCCGACTTTGTAGAGAATACAGTTGTAACAAAGTTAGACCTGTTTGTGCTGGTCATTAAGGAGTAAATAATCTCAACTACGAAAATGAAGTGGGAAGGAAGGAAATTCAGGTCCCAGGCTGTGGATTCATAAACTGGACTTAAGAAACGTCTTCCTTCTTTCATGGTGCGAGCTCTCTTAGTGTATTCTTCTTTAAGAACAGTTGATACAAGTGTTTTCTCCTTTCAGGTAAAAAAATAGAGAACCATCTCCAAGTTGTGTTGGTTTGTCCAATGGAATTAGAAGTAATGGAGAAATTTGTATTCCTCAGTGAAAATATGGTAGGTAGGAGTCATGTGCCACCAAGATCCTGAAATCTGGATTGTATGTACACTGTGACAGAAGCATGGTAAGGTAGTGTTGGGGCAACAGGGACAAGGAGATTTTATTCTCCCCATGAACCTGTTGGATATTTGGGGGATGTTCTGAAGGAGGAGTCCTTTCAGGCTTGGAGAACTGTGTATACCCTGGGTTTCCTAAGGACTAAGGGCTTCTCTTGTGAATGAGCCCCAGGCTTAGAAGCCCATGGGTGATGAAGTTTAGGGTATATCTTCTTTCCTTACTCTGATGAGGCATTTCTTATGATAGACACATAATAAGAGAATAAAATATTTAAAAATCTATTTGTTTATTCTAGAAAGATACAGCTCTTTGTGTACAAATCCAAGGAAATACAAGTGGGGATTAGGTTTTATAGTTATATTTCAAAATGAGAAGGGAGCAATTATCAAATTTATCAGACAAGTAGGTTGCCTGGTTAATAAATGGCAACAGGAATAAAGCCATGGGTCCAGGATGAGGGCACTTTTTAGAAAAGATTATTTGTAGTTATAGGGCATACCACTTTGATTGGTTGCCCTGACGGATCAGCCTGCAACCGAAGTATGTGCCCTTGACTGGAATCAAACATGCCACTCTTCAGTCCGTGGTCTGATGCTCTGACCACTGAGCAAACCAGCTAGGGTGTCGCTTCATTTTTGAAGGGAATGATCAAAATGTAAAAAGTTAAAGTTGATATTGCATTCGGTGAAACTTTAGGTGTGTTTTATATTTCTCAAAATAAGCTTTTTTTCTATGCATAGAAGTGGAGGTCAAAGAAATCACAAGTGCACCCTCCACAGAGTGGAAATGGGCACTGGAGTTTCCCTTGTATCTAATTATGCTTGGCATTTTACAGACTCAGTGAAATGTTTATTCACTGAACACATGCCATGTACATGGGATTAAACAGTTTGTCTGGTAATTGCTATAGATTAAGCAGGAGTATGGATAAAACTATATACAGTGAACTAGCTTATATTTGCAGTTATGGCTTGTTTAATAATTATTTCGTTTCCTGGGAAAACTTGAGTTTCTTAACATTTCCTGCTTCTTCTTAGTGAGTTTGCTCAATTGTTTAATCTTAAAATATGATTGAAGCAATAATTTTGTTAGATTATTATGTGAGAGATCTCCCCCTTTGTATAGTCCTAACAATTAATTTCATTCTCTAGGTCTGTTGATGTGAACTAGTGAAGATCCTAGGTTGCTAATAGGACCACAGTTAAAGGGGCATTTGTGTGGTTGGTATGAGATACTTGTCTTCATTGTATTAATCATTTGCACTAACCAATAAGTTTTAAGTTCTTTTTTTTAAATGATTGATTTTAAAGAGAGAAGAAGGGAGAGGGAGAAACATTGATGTGTTGTTCCACTTACTTATGCATTCATTGGTTGATTCCTGTATGTGCTCTGACCGAGGATCAAACCCGCAATCATGGTGTATTGGAAGGACGCTCTAACCAACTGAGCAACCCGGCCAGGGCATATTTTAAGTTCTAAATATAGGATGGTAAAATACAGGATATATAAAATGCTGAAAAGATTTATTTCTCTAAAAGTAAAGAAATCCTTCTCTGGGAAGCTGTGGTGAGAAGGATTCTATGCTGTACTGCCTGCGTCAGGTTCTCTGGCAAGACCTTCACAACTTTGGTGTCCTGGAGGATAATGCAACCTGGGGTAAAAAGGCTGGGACCCCGCTCCACCTTGCCACCTGCCAGCCGTGAGGTCTTGGTTGAGCGAGCATCTTTGTCAGCACCCATTTACCTTATCTTTAAGATAGAAATAGTATTGCTGTCTGCTGGGTTGCTTAAATGAGATGAGGGACTCAGGTGGTGGGGCCTCCCCTGTCACATGTGCTCAGTATGTGAGGGTTCCTTTCCCTGCCTCTTACCTCCTGGAAAGGGAGGCCAGAGCGAATTGACTTAGGATTGTGTCTAAGTTCAGCTGGTGTGTTGCATAACCTTGGTTTTCTGCTTTTCCTTTCGGTTCTTCCTTGGTAGACAGCCGGTTAAAGGGGGATGGGGCTAGGGTTGCAGAGAGGAAGCTGCTCGGAGCAGGCTTGGAGGAGAGGAAGTAGCCTGAGTCTATTCAGTGTCAGAGCACACTTCAGTATGACCCTGGGCATCCAGTGTCCGTTACACCCAGCGCACTCTTTTAAAATGGCTAACATTTCAGTATTTTGGCATTGAAAAGTAAGCGTTAGTTATTTGAAAAATTTCACTTATGCGTAACCCCCTTATTTTCCTGTGGTGCAGGAAAGGTAAGGTATATCAGTTGGCCTGGGTAGAATTTAAATCGGTGTTAACAGTGTAATCTCTGAGGATGCTAGCTTTCTTTCCTGAGGTGTCAGCCCAGGTACTTAACGGCACCTCCTCCTGGAAATTTTCTGGAATATCTGTCACTACTTTCAGGTACATCTCATATTTTAAACCATGTTCCTAGGTTACTTAATGACTTGAGCACATATAGCAGAGATAGGCAGGCCATTGATTTTTGAGATAAAGAACAACTATATAGCCAGGGAGGGAATGACACAATCAGTTTATAAGTTAGAGTGGCTCAGGGTTCTCTGCTTTCTCAGATTTTGTTCTTAGGAATCATTGATTTCATGGATTTAAAAACAAAAAACAAACAACAACCTTCACCTTTGTGCAGATTTCAAAGTGAATGTCCTGTGAGGATAATCTTGCTTTCTTTAATCTGGAATTTTTTGTCCCCCAACTGGCCATTCTAGTATTTTGATTAGGATTTTAGAAATCTGATACTCTGACAGAACTCACTGTCAGCCAGATATACTTAAAATGAGGGGTATCTGAAGGTTTCACATAGGAAGGGCAAGGACTGTGCATCTCTAGTTCACCCTGTATTTATGGACCCTAACAGAGAGCCTGGTTTAGTGGGCTCTCCAAACATCGTTGTCCAAAGAGTAAATGACTGAGCAGCAGGAACGCCAGGTAGAGAGGGGAACAGGTCTGCCAAAAGGTGTGTTCTATACACTGTTCTATAGCCTGTGAGCGGCCTTGAACGTCAGGCCAGAGGTGTGTTCTCTACACTGCAGGACAGGGTGGTTGGTAGGTGCTCCTGTGTATCCTGACATGCTGATTGATGGTGGCACTCCTGGGTCTAGCCAGAAGGAGGGCTCTGAGCTCTTGTGGACATAAGGCAGGGGAATGGAGCAGGATGTGGCAGCCCAGTTGCTTTGAGTTGCTCTCTAGTGTATTGGAAATGGCGAGTAAAGGAATCCGGTCTTGGTGTTAGACCGTTTTCAGCATGTACCAGTCTGCCTTCACAGATCCCCAAATGGACACACACAGGCTGGCCAGGGGTCTTTGGGGTTGAGGGGTGGGAAGACCTGGAATGCGTGTCAGGGCAGTGGAGCTGCGAGATGCTCCCAGCAGTCAGGTCCCTCCATGGGTTGCACCAGACTCAGCTATTCACTGACAGCTCTGTCGTGGCTGGATCTTGATACTGATTGCTGAGTGGGGTATGAAAAGTGCTCCCTGTCTTCCTAGAGCTTGCAGCCTTTTTGAAAAAATAACAGCTAAAACAAACAAAACAAAACAGACTAAAACCCCAGGAGTGTATTTGCAGTATCGCTCCAGGACTGAGAGCACGGGTGTTGGCGCCTGAGTGCCTAGGGACAGGCTAGAAGGAGTCAATGGGGGGAAAAGGGTACATCTGTATTAATTTCAACAATAAAGATAAATTTTTAAAAAATCCTTGCTCTTTTACTTATCAGCTGCGTGACCTGGGGCCAGTGCTTAATGACAACCTCTCTCGGTTTGGTCATCTGGTGATAGTATCACCTATCTACGTCATAGAGCTGCTGTGAGGATTAAATGAGTCAATATAAGCACACCTAAAGTGCTGAGAGTGGAGTTTGGCACCAGTAAGTGCTATAATTACTTGGGAGGTAGAATCCCTAAGCCTCAGTTTCCTCTTCATAATGAGAACTTCGCAGGATTAAGAAGGTGGTGAGACATGCCTGCGACGCATCTAGCACAGAGCCTGGCAGATGCTCAGGATAATAACCATTGTCATTCTTATCACTTGGTCCTGCCCCTTGGTGTAATTCCCTCTGTGAGCTCTTCTCCCTCCTCCCGAGCAAGAGCTTGAAGTCTCTGGCTTGTGCATAGCTAAGGTAATGCGTGAGCTCAGCAGGGGCTTCCTGATGGCTAATCCACAGTAACCTGCTTGCTTTCTCGGTCTTTTCCCCCCACATGAGAAGAACTAGCAGGGCCGGGACCTTGTGGTGTCCTTTGAGAGGGATGTCACCCCAGGGGTCGGGGGAAGTGTGTGTGTGTATATGTGTTTTTCACCGTGGAGTTGTGTTGTGGAGTTGTGTTGCTCGGTGCATGACTTCTCCAGGCTCATGTGCTTCATCCAGGACATGAGTGGGGACAGGTAAGAGGACAGAGGTTCCATCAGGTTCTCAGCAGGTTCCTTGGTGTTGAAAGAGTTTAAACCCACACTGTCAGCGAGTCATAATTAGGAAGAAGTGGGACAGCACCTGGGACAGGGTGGGGAGGACACCTCTTCCCTCCCCCACTAGGCAGTGGCAGGCAAAGGCAAAGGGGAGGAACTATGGGTGGGTAAAAGGTTTTTGCGCAGTGAGTGCTGGTGGTCTTCTGTTCTCTAGGGGGCCTTTGAACTTCTGGAGCTGGTTTGGAGGCATGGAGGATCCTTTTTGTCTAAGGTTGTGTCATGGTTTTGAGTTTGGGCCTTAGGGACAGACCTGGGTTTCATTCGGGAACTCCTTGACTTGCTGGCTGAGAACCTTGAGCAAGCGCTGTTTCTCATAGGTAAAATACCAACTGATTACACTGGGTTTATGCATATTAAGTGCTTAGCATAGTTTGTGGCAAAAAGTATATGAAAACTTACCCATCGCTATTGGGGGTGGTAACAGCAGTAATCACCAGCAGTAATCAGGTGCCAAGAAGATAGAAGGGGAAGCAGGCGGCTTCTCCAGGGGCAGAGATAACATTGCCCTGCAGATTGTGAAGGACGCTTTGTGGTAAGACCTTCTCCACTTCAGTCCAGGGCAGTAAGGTTGGGTGATCTTCCGGTGCCTTCCTGTGGGGGTCTCTTTAGACCTGAGACCCAGTAGAATCGGGCGGGGGAGGGAAGAGCTGCCAGCAGGGAGAGGTTTTGTAGTTGGTGGTAGCTGTTCAGAGAGAGGTTTTGTTTATTGCTCTCCTCCCACTGTTTACCGCACACCTCGTGCTTGGAGAGGATGACGCTCTGAAGTCAAAGGACGGTAATGTTATAAGCACATACTCTAGCGTTTCAGAAGGGATTAGGAAGCAGTAACAGCTTTAGCTGAGTAATATTTTTTTTCCGTGGTGAAACCTCTCTTTCAGCAGTATTGTTCTATAATCTTAACAGAGACTGCTTTTTTTTCTTTCCTCCTGACAGGAGACATTAAATAAGTGAAGCATCTGCTCTTTATGTGCTTTTCTCAGGCTTTTTTATGAATACAGTAGCACTTGTCTTTAAGCACCTTTGATAGGAATTTAGATAACAAACTGTGAAAAGAGATCATTCTCATCCCTAAGTCCCTGTGGCCTTGACAGTGAACCCATGATAGAAGGGCTAGACACCCAGACCACCGGGTTGATTTAGAGACATTTTCCTGGTTATATAAATTCTGTACTTCTGGCCCTGAAATAGGAAGAGCCCACCTTAAGCTTTGGGGGTCTCCTTACTACTTCTAAGTCATTCTTGAAGACTTAAAAAAAATTTTTAACATGACCAATTTTTAAATATTATATTGGTTTAAACTTTTGGCTCTTGATGAGAGAAGATTGCTTCCTCTGGTTTGGTCATAGATGGCAGATGGCTACAGGGAAAC